TGTTGACGGACATATACCAATGTAACAGTTGAATAGATACTGGTCTATACTGGACTCTATTACTGTTATTTTTTAATAATGTTTAAATGATGCAATTAAGTAGAAAATAAAAATATTCAGAAATTATGCTTCCAACTTTTAGGACCAATAAGCAATATCTGTGGATTCATAATACTCTTACCGATTTACCAAATTTCTTCTGTATTGATCTGTTTCAACAGCAGTTTTCAATTTTGGATTGGATAGAAGGAAAGCAACTAACACAGTTAGTTGATATTAAATTTTTAATAAAGTTTATATCTTGTTTTGTCTGTATCAGTTATACGCCAAATCTATACTATTTGTTTTGCTTGCAAAAGTCTTAATAAAATAGAAGATAACGCTGGAAATAGAAACTTAGATCGAAAAGCCATTCTGATATATTGTTACATTTTTTGAATGTTGAAGAAACCTTTGAAATATTTCCAGGACACTAACTTAAATAACAATTGCCTACGATAAGTAGCTGAAAATTCAATATATAAACTTTTGTAAAATATATTAGTTCAGATTTACTAAAAATTTTTTTTACATAAATATTATTTAAATTTTTTTCTCATGAAATGTAGTTGTTTAAATTTCACAGTGCATAATTTTTAAGAATGGAAAAGTTGCTGTGGAAGTTGCAGCTTAATTTACACCACTGGTCAAAGTTTTTTAGAATATGCAAATTTTTCAGTATCACTTTAACAACATTTGCTTTATCTCGTTCCTATATTTTTTATTTTTTCTTCAGTATCAACCTTGTTTTCCACATTTCTAATCAGTAGTTTTTAACTGTAATCTACTGTAAAACCGGAAAAAGCCTAAAAACAATAACACCAACTAAGACTTACAAGACATTAGTTATCTAGTCTATGCTAACTAACTAGTAATAATAAACAACAGTCACTGCATCAGTCTCTATTTAGGCATTCGTCAAATTGTCTAATGTTGCTTAAGCAGTTTCTTGTCTTAAAAACGAATTTAATCTCACAAAAAAGATTTTATTCTCAAACTTTGGAATGTAAAAACCTTCTTTTCCAGCGCTAACTTTCTTCAGTATTTTTCTTTTCTGCTTTTTTTTTTTTCAGTAAACTTTAAACGACTATTTTTTTTATGGAACTGCTATTTTTTGAACTTGATGATTTACCATTATTATGTCATTATTGTGTTTTTTATTTCGTAAGTAAACAACTTCAATAAAAAACTTGATGGGAAAAAAGTATCTGGAAGTTAAATAACATGGATAAAAAGATTTTTTAAAGCAGGAAAGAAACGTTTCAATGAAAAGAAAATTAAGCAAAAAATTAGAAATTTTATCGTACAGGGGAAAAAAAATTAAATTTCAAATTTAATTGCTGTTAAAAAATGCACAAGTTTTTTTCTTTTCTTAACAACTGATTGTGTTTGACGGGTGGGGGGGGAAGGGAAAAGAAATGTTCAGTAATTGAACAGTTGGAAAGTAGAAGGAAATTGAAGTGTAAAATTGAAAGGTTATGTTAGATTGATGTTAAAGCAACTGATACAGATCTTTAAAAAATAGGTTTTGTAATTATTTGGTCAACTG